ACACACTTTGGTGCAGTGTGATCAGGTATTCGACGCATTTGGACCGAGATAGCGCAAGTGAATAAGTAGGAAAGAGGACTGGAACTCACTGAGAAGGCAGGCAATATGAGTGAGGATTGGGATTTAGAGAACTAAGCATTGAATTAACTTACCAAAACTCTCTTAATTGTGTTTCTCTAAAAAGATTCTAAAAATCAATTATAGATAATAAGATAGTCAGAGTCCAAAGAAATTCAATCTAACTGATGAATTTTTCGATCGAATGGAATTCCGCCGAGATTTAAAAGCAACACTTGCGAAGTTTATGCAAAATATAGCCTGCGAGCAAGCTCTCCTATTTGGGTAAGCGAAGCGAGCCTCGCGAGAACGCGCGAGACTCGCTTCACTCGCCCAAATCGGAGAGCTTGCTCCTAGTTCTATGCAAAATATGTCAATCTCAGCTTAAACCACTCGCTTAACAGGTCAGGGCAGACAAGCCTGGTGTTTCTGGTTACCAGGAAAACATTGAAAACACTGTCCCACGAAAACATAGCAATTCAAATTGTTATTTTCGAAAATCCCGTAAAACCTGGTCAAAAGGATAAAAGAAGCTGGAGCGATTACAGTCAGCCAGACCTGTTAATTTCATTGTTGACGCCAAAATCTTCTGACCAGGGGCTGACCAGTCAGGACATTTGGTGTGGTCAGGTCGTCTTCAAAATGTTTCTGACCATCTCCTTACTTTTCTGTCCTTTATGAAGTAAGTCAAGTTTATAACAAGCGTCAATATTTTTGAAAGAAAACTGAAAACAATTTCAAAAGGAAAAGAGATCGAAAGCTTCTGCGGAGTCAGTGAAATGTTGCTGGTCATCGGGAGCGTGAAATATTGCCACTCGTGAGCGAGAGCTGTAACATGTACGATCGAGAGAAACCCGAATGTAATCATGGCAGTAAGAGTTACAGTTGTCCCGTGTTACTCGATCCACTTAGATTCATAGTATTGCTCGTCTTACCTCAAAGCCGTATTGGATTATCATTTTGCTTCGCGAATTCCTTTCCTGACCTACTCAGCTTCCAGGAGAAATGGTTTAGTCTTCTAAATGCGATAGAGCAGGTCAAGACCGCTGGTTACTACGCTGGCCGGCCGGTTTAAAGTCCGATTTACTGAAGAAAAACCACGATGGCGTGCCAGTGGTAATCTTCAGTGGAATTCAACAGCACTAAACGTGACCAATTCATTTTTTGGAGTAATTTCAGAATACCACGGCCACATCATTTACATTTGTCGGAACGCTTTAAAGAACGAGGAATAACACAATAGGCACTTTTAGTATTCAATGATATGCAAAGAAGTGGTCGGGTATTCTGAAATTTAGCATATCACACTCAAGTTTGTAGGATTACTTGGTTGACGTTCGAGGTATTCACTTTTTTTGGCGGGGCGTTAATTGTGAATTGAAATTGTCTCTCATATCAATGACTTAAACTATCAAGTCCAGAAGAACAAAGCCTGGCTCAGTAATTAGCACGCTCTTTACGTCTTTGTCGACTTAGATGTCTCTTGAGTATTATTTTACAACTGTTGTGCATTACCTTAGCAGCAAGACAAATAGCTTACAGTTAATCACGGAAGACTGGAAAAAGCGAACGAACAGAGATACTGAGCACGTTTTCAATGCGGTTTATTCGCGTGGCGATCATTATAAAGGAGCACTTTCTCAGTCAGTCTACCATTATTTTTAAAGTAGCAGGAGACTTGCAGCAAAAAGTCAACCTCGTCAAACGTCTGAAGTGATTTTCGCTTGATTTACCGGGATTTTATTTGCTATTAAGTGAAAAATCGACAAGGATATTTATGATATCTAGTCAATGTAATTATACATTGTAAAAGACAATAACCTTCCTCTCGTTGAAAATGCTTTGAATACGAGCAAAAGGCGTCAATTACAACTAACTGTAACTATTCTGGTAAACTTTCAAAAAGTTCAGTAAACTAATTGTATACTGGCAATATCTAATACTTTGAACAGTGAATTAAAGAACTTTCAATTTCCTTAGCTTTTGCAAATTTCTTTCATTATAGTGTCGTTTATTAACCGTAGGCACAAATCAAAAGCAATACATCTGTTAGTTTCGCATAAGTTATATATTTGGGAGCTGAAGCAATAGAGAATAATACATGGACGCTTGGAGATATGGAATTTATCTTCTCGTGTTCACATTCGATATCTCACTCGTTCGCTGCGCTCACTCGTTCGATATCGATGTGAACACTCGAAGATAAATTCCATATCTCCAAGCGTCCATGTATTATTCTGTTTATTATATAGACCAAAATGCATACAATTATTTAACCAGAGCGTGTTGATGAGGGCTTTTGGAGAGCTGAAACCCATTTCTTTTCGTTCGAAAAGAATGTCTCTTTCCTCTGGGGTTAGACTGGATGCTTCATTTGGCTTGTTTCCTTTCCCCAGCCGTTTCAAATGTTTTTGTTTTGATTTGAGTGCATCTCTTGTTCTCGCAAAGT